GCTAGGTGTGGCTAGGTGTGGCTAGGTATGGCTAGGTGTGGCTAGGTGTGGCTAGGTATGGCTAGGTGTGGCTAGGTATGGCTAGGTATGGCTAGAATGCATGCCATACTAGGTATGGCTAGGTATGGCTAGGTATGGCTAGAGTGCATGCCATACTAGGTATGGCTAGGTATGGCTAGAGTGCATGCCATATACCCGTGAACCAAATCCAAACCCGGCTTTTAGTTTCGTATGCAAATTGCCCGGAAAATTGAACTACTGAACATACTAATTTGTGCAAATTCTAATACTGACTTCAACCTTATTTCGTAAAAAATTGGGCCAACTTGATAGTTGAATGCTTTTGTTGTCGCCATGCAGGTACCGGCATGCATTATACGAACTTCGTGTACAGATTTGCGCCATGGAAGGATCTTGGATGCTGGACTGATGTTGAGGCGGACCGGACAATGAACAAGATCATCGTGAACCTCAGATATAAAATTGACTGGTTTAACATGGACAAAACAGGTAGCTTTTCAAACGTACCTATTAATAATTCGCATCGTATTCGGTCAGTGGATGGCGGTCAGTGGTCATAATTTTTAATATGATAAAATTTTAAAATTGTATTTCTATATATATACATTCAAATAGCGGCATTAGGAAGTTCCTTAAAGACCTATATCATATAAGTTGCATATCATATAAGTTAATTGTAATATTAGATGAAAAGGACACAATTTTTTTATTTCCTTTTATGAATTAAAATGAGCTAATCGGAGAAGCCATATCAAAATCTCGTTGCCATGTTTCACTGATTGTACGTTCCATGCAAGTACCTCGATCCAGCTCAAAACCTATTATTATTAAAACAGGGGCGGCGGAAGCGGGGGGGCCGGGGGGGCACTGGCCCCCCCACTAGATTTTTTGGGGGGGCCTGGCCCCCCCAGAATATAATGCCTCACACAAACAAAAAAAACGCATGAGATTTGGTTATGATTACCATTATTTATTATTTTGATATTACATAATTTTCTGTATCTAAAAAATATACGATATATCTAGCGACGACTTGCATCATTTTTGTGTCTCTCAGCACAATTGCAAGTGGTTTAATGCGCGCAAAATGTTACTGATTGAAATATCACACATACACGTTTGTAATCAAGCTAAACAGGGAGGGGGGGGGGGTCATTTCAAGGTACCGTGAAATATTGGAGTGCCCCCCCAAAATTTTTCAGCTTCCGCCGCCCCTGTAAAACCATAAACTGAGTTATTTATTATCTGAGTCGAATAGGGAGGTTACATGGTTTTGGTACTTTTGGCGTTGAAGAGGAGGAAATATGAAACAAGGTTTTAGAATTGTTAAATTTATTTTCTAAAAATCGAATGTTTTAATATCATTCATTAGTTAATGCTAGAAAGACAGAGACGTTTTAGTTTAATACCTAAAACTTGACAGTCATGACGTTACTTGAAATCCAACGTAAAGTTGAATAAGGTTCTAATACTGACCAACTAATGACATGCACTTAATGATTGACCAAAATTGTAAATCATTTTTTTTTCTTCGGCGAAGGGGTGTTTGGAAGGAAGTTTGAAAATACTCTGAGCAGCAACTGATACTTATAAACATTCCCTCACTTTGCCCAAAAAGTCTTAGCTTATGATGGTATGACTGTTTTTGGAAGGTGGCTGAACCAGTTTAACAAAGACCAAAAAGAAAGCAGCTCACTTTGCATATTTCTATTTATTTTCAAGTGTTGGATTGCTACGAAGCCGCTAAGCAAGCCGGCTTTAGATACTTCTCCGTTCAGTATTATGGTGAATGCTGGGCATCTAATGACGAGAACTTATACCGGAAGCACGGCTACAGCGTCAACTGCTGGAATGGTGTGGGAGGAGAACTCGCCAACTACGTTTATCAAGTACTAGAGTGATTAAAACAGATCTTCTCTAAATAAGACAAACAAAAGGTGTGTTTGACAATAGATACACTAGGGTAATATCATACCAGTTACTTTGCTGCAAAAATAATTGTTTGGGAGTTTAAAATCGGTGGAACACCTTTGTAAGGAGAATGGGCCGGACATGTATGGGACAGACTGGGACATAATAAAAAATAGCGATAATTCTAACGCGCATCTCATCTTTTTGCAATAACAAATCAAAGTACACGAGTTTATAGAAAATTGATAAGTAATTGATAAATAACTTGAATAACATTCTTAGATCTAATAACAATGTTATTTTGTTTCAGATGCTATTGTTTCCTGCTATAGCTTCACCAAACACACTTTGCGTTGTAAAGGGGTTTCACTGAGAGGAAAATAAAGTAGAACTAACATGATAAATCCGCTTTTCGTGATTGCACTTGCATTTGCATAATAGCGTTCATGGAAATCTTTTTCTCCATCCGATTTTTTTTATTTTTCCCGTTTTCTATTTTTTTCCCTTAACCTACTTTTTTAAACTTTGCTGTCTATATTCTTTCTGCTCTCTTTAAATTTCACACTCTTACCCTTTCTTCGCATGTGGATTACTGCCAAAGACTAACGCATGCACCCATACGCGCCTTCGAATCGGAAAACTAGCTAAAATGAACCAGCTAAAATATTATAGAATCTAAAAAATCTCACTATGGAAAGTAAATAATAAGTGCATGGGGTTGTTAATAGATATGAATGATCTTAACCGTCAGAAAAAATGCGTTAAGAACAGAGATTGAGCCATTAATCACTCGTGCCGGTTCGAAATTTTGCAATTTATTTTTTAATTCTCCTTTAGATTCTCAAAGACTCTGATACTAGTAAACCGTCCCAACCAGGGTCTGGACATGTGAAATAGATGCCGACAAATATCTTGTTAATAATGTAAATATATTCCTTAAGGCGGTCAAAATTTCAATTTTTAGCGAATGTATCTTGTAAGTATGAACTCCTTGAGATTTCTAACACAGACGTCCTTTCATTTATAAGTATAAGCTTCTTGAGATTTCTAACACAGAGGTCCTTTCAACTGAAGTACAATTTTTTTACTCGTGTTCCCTGTTCTTCATAAATTCTGCATAGTTTTACTGTACATTGCTGATCGACTAATGCCCACTTATTTATTTCATCAAAAACATCAAATAAATCACAACACAGGGACCCCAAGTGTAAATGTCTAACATTACTTCTCTAGGTGCGCAACTTTTCCAGCAATCACATCAAATATTTCGATGTCATGCAATATCTACTTTAGCAGTATTCTTGGAAGCTCAACCAAGTAAATACTCCATGCATGTTGAAACCAGGTCTTCCACTCCCCGCTTTCCAGGTATCCCAGTGTACCCAAGTACTCCAGTAGTACTAGGGCACGAGTAATCGCTGAAGCTAAGCGTCTAGTTAGTTTTAAAACAGTATCACAAAAACATTGGCACCTTTATTGACCCCTTTTTTTTTTTTTTGTTAACAGTTTGTAGTGCCAAGTCCTCATTTGGAAATTCTTTTGTATCGAGAAGCTCATTTGTCTACCCTGTCATATTTTTATTTAACCTTAAAGGGACAATGCAGTTTATTCAGTCTGGATTGGATGTCTCGGGTGAATTGGGAAGACGCCGCCGCTTAATTTGGTTGTTTATTCAGAAGAAGGAGATAATTGAAGTCTTTCGAGTCAAGCAGGAAAGGAAAATTAACGCAATTTTTTAAAACAATGAAACTGTCTTGAAAGTATTGCGAAGTCTATTTCTAAATATTAATCCGATCTGTCGGTAGCCTTAACAAGTGCGTAACAAAACTCCTGCAGTAGGCTTTTCGTGTGTGGATTGGTAGATTCTATTACATGTTCTTAGGGCTAATGATAGCAGATTACCTTGAGCTTCCCTGGGTGATCCAACATTGATAACGTTTTCTATCCTAAAGACTGATCGGCTGTTCTTCTTTTTTTCTTTCTTTTTTAATATACTAAGGACTAGTGTTCTAATAATCAACCATAAAGGATGTTGAAATACAATTATAAAAGGCAATAAAGGAGTTGTTTACACATCTGGTTTTAGGTTTGACTTTCCCTTTGAAGTTCACATCAACTTGTGTTAATTAAAATCGACGCTAATTTCCCCCCTGACTTTTCAAAGTAGGACTTCCTAATAATAAGACTAATTCTACTTTTAGTATTTTTGAATCATGATGAACCATTTTTGTCTTTGAATAAAGCATTGTCAGCAAATATCGACCTCAAAAGCGAGCGTCTCATATTTGCAACCAGATTCCCACATTTTACCAATTGAAACCAGAGACCTCTTTTCTTTTCTCTTCTTTTTTCCTCGTCTTTTTTGTTCGTTTGTTTCTTTTTTCCCTTTTTCTTTTCTTTTCTTTTCTTTTTACTTTCTTCGATAATCTCAAGGCTCTGTAGACATTATACCTGATTGGCGAAATATAATTGACTCCATCTAGTCACAACTTACAAAAAGTTAGAATGAAAATTTCGGATCAAGGATTCTTTTTTTTAAAAAAAATAGTACTTACAGGGTTTAGTTATGTTGGACAAAAGCGTTATTTCTTTGTATCATATCGATATCCGTGTGATAAAGCCATGAATAAAAACCATATCAGTGAAGTGATACGATATCACTTCACAGTGAACTGGAAACTGTGAGTTTTGATCTAACATCGATCCTAAACGTGTAATAAACAAATTATCACATGTTAAGACCCTAATATCTTTTTTATTCTCTCGTTTTCCATATCATACCATATCACACTCGCTCGTATCATATGGAAAGTCTTGAATAAAAACGATCAAGCTCTTAATATTTGATTCATCTCTATTTAGTTTATTTTATGGTTAGTATTTTGAGACACCATGAGACGAAAAGGTTGATGTGGATATGTTTCGTGTGGATGGATGGATGGACAGATAATAGGGTGTTTAGATGCATGGGTAGAGGTATGGATTAATGGAATAACTGACGAAGAGTAGCGATAGCTAGAGTAACTTCATTTATGAAACGCCGGTTTACTCAATAAACCATTCGGCATTCCACGTTCCACGTTCAGCAAGGGGATCGCGCGCAACTGAATTAACAACAAACGCCAATCAAATTTATAATCTTTTGCATTTCTGGAAAAGGAAAGAGTAAACTCAAAATAATCAAGGAATAATGAATTTTGCTTGAGTTTAAAGATATTCTCCTGGTGCAGTGCTTCTTTATTAATTATATAAAGCTAATCATGCAGTTTTCTCTTATAGCATAGTTAAGTAAAACACTGCTATTATAAGATGTATTTAGTATACTTCAGCTTCACTGAGTGCCGTAAATGAATAACTTGAATGTAAATAACATCTTTATAATGATTATCCCGAGAATACTATACAGTCAATTTATAATACAGTCGATTCATGCACCAACATAGCAGCCGAAAAATAGTTTGCGCATCCATTCAAACAGCAAAACTCAATACAAAAGAGTTAATTATTGCATCAGCGCAGTCCTGACTGGTGTTATACAGTTTAGGTTATACATTCTGGGCAATGCTTTCTAATTCCCTCGACCCCTTGTTTTGATATTTATTTTCACAACTAATTTATTGTACGGCCATGTACATATGTGGTATATAAATTTGCCCTTATTTCAAGACCAACAAAAACATGAAAAGTTGAAATAGGGTTACATGTTTGAAGAAAGCTTGGAAGATTTATCTAGCTGCCATTTCATTTTCTGTTCCCATCATTATATTCTTAACGATTTTTTACAGCTCAGGTCTTAATTTGTTCTTTTGGCATAAAGGAAACGATTGTTTGGACTTTGACAAATGGTGGTTTCCGCTACAGAAAGTGATTTCCTAGTTAGTGCAATAAACTGGAATGTGTTTTAATTCAAATACTTACTCTGTCGCTAATACTAAAGCATGGTTCTTAATGCTTTTCTTACTCTTTTCGATTCACTCTTAGGCTTTTTTGACGAGGAAAACTCGTGTTCCCAAGATCAGCACTTTGAGAGAAAGTTGTTGACCAAAATACCACTCGGTCAATCATGTGAGTGTTATTTCTTCTTCCTAATTTGCAGGGCAAAACTCTAAGAATTTTGTAGCGAAATTCCTTATTGGACAACGAATAAATGAGAGGATTTAAAGCTGAGTTGATATAGTGTAGCAGTTTTATTCCTGCTGTTGTGACGGCACTGGGAAATAGGTCTGGACGATAGCTTACTATGAGATTGACCAAGAAAAATGGTGCCCAACAAGCGATAAAAGTTCCCATTACGATGGCAAGAGTTTTAGCTGCCTTAAGCTCCCTTTTGAAGTAGTAAGTCTGGCGAATCGGAAACACACGCCTTGCTTGAGATAAAGCGGTCTTGAAAATACGAGAGTATGAATAAATCATGATGAATGATGGAAAAATAAAAGATACAATAAATACAAATGTAGGGAAAAAATCCCAGTGGACAGTAACCAAAGCAGCCAGCGAAACAGCGAAAATCCAGATCGCTGCGAGAGCAATGTTTGCACGTTTGGAAGTCATTATGTTTGGATAATGGAGTGGTTTAGTAATGACAATAAATTTATCGATACTGATAGCACACAGATTCATGATGGAAGCGGTGGAGAATAAGACATCAACACATTTCCAAACAGTGTACGTTGTTTTGTTACAAAGGACGTTCGATAAATAAAAGCACTGGTTGAGTTGAAAAGACAGCCAAATTGGGATGGATATGGAAGCTACTAAAATGTCAGTGACAGCCAAGGATAGGATGAATGCTACACTCGCATTATGTAGTGCTGATGAGCGATAGAATGCTACAAATACAACGCTGTTGCCCAAAAGTGCAAGCACGATGACCACAAAAAGGGCAACGGAATAAACAACCACAACTGCTGGTCCTTCCTGGGAAGTTGACGAAGTAGTGTTCATCACTAAGGTACACTAAAAATGTTGGATTGTTTTGAAACAAGTGTAGTGTCCCTTCGTCTTTAGCCTCTTTCGTCTTTCCAAATTACTTTACTCCTTTATCTTTCGAACTCCTCGTTGTCTCTTTTTCGATCCGCCTGCCAATTTCGCTGCTTGCACCATCCAAGCCGACCTAGTATCCAGGCAACCAAGCTCTATCTTTGTCGTGAAACCTGTAATTAGAAACTTATTTCAAATACGATTTATGGAATAAGAAGATTTTTCAGATGCTCATTTAAAGTTCCTTTTCTCTAATCTTATTTAAGTCTGCTTGTAAACAAGAAGCACAAAAATAATTGCTTTCAAATGCTATCATTTCTAGCTCAATGTTATTGAAACGTTTCAAGATGTCAGATCCACCGGATGAGTTCTTAATACCGGATTATTGTGATTGACACCTCAGTGTCAGCTCGCGAGTTTTCATGTTATTCAGCTGGCTTAAAAACAATACAACTTTTGGCGGTTGACTTCAAATTGAACGAGTGTTAAGAGCAATGGCTGTAGGATACGACATCACATTAAGATACTGCCGGAACACTTCTAGCAAACTGAGGCTTATCGGGGCTTTATTTAATAATCAAAAAATATTACTGACTTCCTAGGAGTTCCGCCCAGAAGTAATAATTCAACTTTCTATTTTCCTTCCGTTTCGTCTCTCTTCCCTCCGAATTCAGACTATCTGTAAGTTTCCAGTCATAATTGAAAAGTAAAATTCAGGTTAAGATTCAAATTTTAGATTGAAAAAGTCAAGCGATTTTTATGTGTTAATTGTGCTAAGCGTTCTTATACTGGAGATAATTTTATTTCATTTATTAGAAATCCTGACATTTGTAAAGGATTTTGTCTCGCCAATCAAAAGAAATCAGTTTAAGATTGTTCCGGCTACGGTAAAATATTTCTTTATCTGGCGAGACAAAATCCTTCATTAATATTATCAGTGATGATCAAATAATATTATTGAGTATTCTATTCTATGTTCTTTCTGAAGAGATTTAGGTTGGTTAGAACATGAACAATAAAAAAAATAGGATTTCTTGTAAAGCAGACACTAAGTTTTTATCAAACCCTTTGAAATGCTCATACACGACAGTTTATTATTTTGCTCAAAATTACGGTCAAAAGCTAACTATTTAGCAATAGTCCTCCAGCACGAATGGGCTATGACTGAGTCAATAGGCCATGAGGTCGAAGGCTGAATCGGCTACAGACTCATATTCCATGAGGACGAGAGGACTATGTACTTGTTTTAGTCAAATCCAACTAGTCCGGCGGTCAAGTATTTAGATGCAAACAAGTCTTGATTTAAAGTTAAATTCAATTTTTTGGCTTTGAAATCCGGCATTTTTGGCTACTAGTAGGCTATGACTAGTTATTTACCTACATGTGAATGTAACGCGCGCACGCGCAGAGATAAATAGGATTTGAGCAAACAAAAAACTCTTTCTCCGTTTCCCCGATATTCACTTCACCTTTGGCGAATAATTGTTAAAGTGAACCTACACCCTATTTTTTTTTTACATTCTTAATTGTTTGTACTGAAGATTTTAAAATGTTTTGTGGTATTTTGGTCACATTTGAAAAAACATTGATGCAAAAAATTGATTTAAAAATACGAAATGTGTCATGGGTCCATTACATCAGAATTAAAGGGGGAGTCTGGGTCCGAGTGTGACGTCACCGCAGGCCATGACTTGTTGTTTGGTACCTGAAAGTTAGTAAACAAATCGAGTACTTTTGAAAGACAGAAGAGATTTTTGAAGACAAATTCGTGAAGATTTAGAAGTATCCCTCCACCTGATTTAGAAGTATCCCTTAACCTGATTTAGTAGTATSCCTTACCTCAACCGATCCACACTTGATCCTGAGATGAGYCGTACTTTCGAGCTCGAATTGTCGAATAATCGTTTCAGTGTCATAGCAATGGAAATAACGCACACTTTTTTTATGGTGGTTTTAATTGCGTCACTGTCGTCAAAGCAAACTCTGTGTTATAGAAGTGTAGGGAGAGGATTCGGGATGGGTTGAGCAATAATTAATATTTGTGAAGTTAATTGTTAATTCTAAATTGGAATATGACAAAAATGTAATAAGATAATCACTTTTTCTAAAAAAATTCATGATGATGTACTATAATAAGAAAAAAATAGAAAATATTATCTGGATCCAATGGGGTTCGAACCCACCTTCGAAAATTTTATAAAACAAAATAAAAAAAATTGATTCTACTTTGCCATACCCCCAAGACATCCGCAGAGCTGAGGCGGCGTATGGACTTTGGACCTGACGGCGATTAAGTCCTTCTGCCCTTGGGTGTACGRATTACGCAAGAAAATGTTCTGGCCGAAGCATCAGGGGAGAGAGCAGCCGGCCCCCTAGACCATATCGGCTAATCCCTTGCATCATTGTCCGGAATCGGTTGAAAAATTTATGTTAAAAAGTCTTGTCTATTTGGTGCATTGTTTTCGCGGCTATTGTTATGCTGATTCACCTGAAACCGTGGTCCAGAGGGGAAAACGTGGACTTCAATTCTTGACTTTCACATCCCCATAATGCTTTGCGTTTTTGGGGGGTAACCAATCAAAAAACTGTCCCAAATTGAAAGGTTTCTTAATTGAATTTATGCTATACCTGCTTTTATCTGTACAATACTGATTATCAGTTTATTCCAAAATATATTTTTGTGTGTACAGATCATGAAGAGTTTTGGTCTTACAGAAAATGTATTGACTTACGAAAAAAATGTTTGAAATTTACCGTCGTCCTTTTTGATAATTTCTTTTTTTCAAATGACAGTATTTAAGAGTATCAAGAGAATATGAACTAAGAGAAGGAATCATACCTATATAGCCTTGTAACCATCATGTGCACAGTTTGATGCTATTTTTAGCTTGAGATATTTTGAGTGAAGAACCTGATTGGTTGATTTCTTGAGGGTAGGCGGCTTCCAGTTTTGCAGTATACAAAAGTCTGTGTTTTTTTCGTGGACGTAGCGAAATAAGGCGCTTTTCGTGTCCTAAAACGAGGCATTTAAAAGGAAGCATAATTATCGCGCGGGCATGGTAACGAGTTAAAAATAGCATCAATGATTCTAAAAATAGCATCAAAGTGTGCACATGATGGGGCACGGGGATTCTTTCTCTTAGTTCATTTTCTCTTGAGAGTATCCTTTTTTCAAATGACCGTATTTAAGCACAGGTAGCCCAAGCTTGGTTTCTGCGTGGTTATTTTTTGAATTTAGCCCATTTTAAGTTTTTTTCCCCACCAGTTACCACGCAGAGCGAAAGAAGTGCTATTTCTCAATGATCGGGTAAAATTTCGAGGCTTTATTTCACGTTTCAATGATTTTATTGAAATTTTTGATGAATCTCCATACATTTCCTTATAACAGGACACCACAGAAACCAAGCTTGGGCTACCTGTGATTTAAGAGTATCCTTTTTTCAAATGACCGTTCTTGACTATTTATGAACTAAAAACTAGTTTTTCGTTTGTCGTGATATAATTGATCCTATTTTCTTTAATAGTGGGGGTAGATACTACTACATTCAAGCAATAGCTTCAAGCTGAATTATAGCACAATTAAATCGCACTCCACTGGGTCATTGTTATGCGCCATTAAAAATCCTTTTCTTAAATTGCCCGTACGCCGTTCCGAGGTTTGACAGTCTCATAATGGGAGCCTTTTTCCCTGTCGGTCTTCGTTCGGGCGAATAAGTCTGTCAGCCCTTGGGCCTCTCCCTCATTGCGTTTCCCTTAAAGTGTATATCAAAGAAAAAATTATAGTTCAAAATCACTTATATGTGAACAGTGTAGTAGTATGGTTGCAGTATTTTTGTATGTGAACTTCTATTTTCAGTGATATAAACATTTGAAATATCAATATCAAGAAAGTGTTACATTTTGTAGTGTAATTTACGACAAGTGTTCTGTAGTGAAATAACCTAAAAGTGTACAAAAATCATATATTTCAGTTATAAGTCAGTGATTTGCAAATAAAAAGGGAAAAAAAGCAGCAGTACTTTTCACAACAGCATCTTTGTATAATTTTAGGTTTTGGGCTTTTGTCTATGGATGAAGTATCCACTGCGCTGAAATTAGCAGCCAACTCAGCAGCCAACTCAATATTTCAAAATATTGCCTCGAATGCTAGAAATTACGAATGGTATATCCAAAGAAAAGCTTTTGATAAAAATTAAGATACAACTATCAAAATAATGTTAATATATTTAATATATTACTTATTAAGAGAGAATTCTTTTCGTACTCAAGCGGTGAGCGCCAAAAACTATTTTCTTGAAAAAAAGGCTGTTGTACAAGGCTAAATTAATCTTGTTATTCAGAAAGTTTAACTTGTTTGGAAGTGGAGATGACCTATGAAAGTGGAATCAAAGTGTTAAACCCAAAGCAAAATTTTGAATCGAAAATGAGGTTTAGGCCTTCATTATTTGCTTATTTCCCATACATTTTCTATTGAAAAGCCTGACAAAGCTACATTCTAACACAAATGCAACAAAACATCTTTGTACAATTGAAAATACCGCTTCAAACAAGCATTTTATCATAGTACATCAGTTTCTAACTGTTCAAAAAAAGGTTTTGAGTGTTAACCCAAAGCGAAAATTGGGATCAAAACTCATACAAAGTTTTTGGCGTTTTTTGCCATTATTGCTTGTTATTGGGTCTTTCTCTATATCACACACTGAATAAACTCAAAAAAGAAAAGAAA